TCAAGGCCTCCTTTTTTGTGCTTAGGTAGTTACAGTCTTCCACAGGAGGACCCAGGATTTTGTAAAGACTGCACCCTCAGTTCCCAGCCTTTCCTCAGCTCTGGGGAGGTCTGACTGCCCTGCAGCAGTGGGGAACATGAAGGCCCACCCATTCTCCACCCCCTGGCCCACCATGGCCACTGTCCCTATCCACTTCAGTCCCTATCTGCCTTTTTTTTATGGAAAAAAGGATGGCAAACCCCCCTGCCTGTAAATTCCATAAAATAAAAACTCATCTGTAAAAAACCAAAATAAAACAGTGTGCACCACTTGTTTAAAGATTCAACATCTCCTCCAATGAAACTGGATTGCAAGTGTCCATGGGCAGAGGGAATGGAGCAGTGCCACCTGGTGTCTAAGTGGAAGCAGTGAACTGTCAGGGCTTTGTGGCTCACTAGAGCTCTGTAGTTCCTTGCAGCTGTGGGGCTGGGCAGTGGGGGTTGAGTAGGGGTCTGTAGAGGCATTGCAAGCTCTTTCACAATGTCTGCATCTGGGAGAATAATTATACTGACCACTGGAGTGGGGTGGGGGAAGCAGATGGGAAGAGGGAGAGGAATCTTACCTGTTCGGGCTTTCATCATATGAGTGGCAGCTACTACTGCTGCTTCTTTAACAGCAGGGCCTTAGCTGCTGCTGCTGAGGGACTAGCAGTGGCACTGGCTCCACAGAGTCCCTTCCTAGTGCCCAATCTCCTAAGGCAGGACTGAGCCTCCCATGTCAAAGCCCCCTGGGAAGAAGAAGCATCATTCCACCCATCTACCCCCTACCACTGAAGGCCAGAGCACTGCTCCTGACTGCCTGCATCTGCCTGGCCTCCTATGTAGAGCTGTGTGCGCCATGGAAAGACTCCTAGTGGGAAGGGGCCATAATAAGACCCCCTTTCAGTCAGTGCCTGGGGCTGGCAGCCCACTTACCCTGCTCTAATTACAGTACTGGGGGTCTATGGGTGGAGTGGGACCAATTGGGGTTAGGCCAGAGGCAGGGTACAGTATGGTTCAGGGTACAGTCAGAAGTGTCAGTGTGTCAGGAAAATAAAAACATGTGTCAGTAAAAAATGTGGTTGTTAGTGAAAAGTTTGCAGATTGTCAGTAAAAAAAAATGTCTTGGGTTGGCAACCCTGAGCCAACACCAGTTAGTTGCGATGTTGTGGTGAAAGGGAAACAGAGCCACTGTATAATGGACAGTTAATAGAACAGAGTGGCTTTCAATTCCATGCTAAATGTGAAATGAATGAACTTGTTAACTGTTATTCAATCTTTGTGTTACACTTTTGCAACCAACCCTACCTTGCAGATGCCACCCTGCACAAATCTCTAAGCAACTGCTGGAATGCAAGCGATTTGAGTATCTTTTCAGAGGAAGTCCTTTTAAAGCTGCAGTGTGAAGCGGAGACTGTGGGACGTTCCAAAGCAACCAGCTTCCAGAATGAAGAAGCAGGAGCCCTTGACCCCTCCCCACCAGGCACAAACACCTGGTCAACCCCTATCTGGGTACCACCACACGGAGTTCAGGGCAAGCAACTTACTTGTGCAAGCAAGTACAGGCATGAGATGGGCAAGTAAGGCATGCCAGAAAACTGAGACATAAGGGCAATACACACTTGGTGACCCCTCTAACTCTTCCCCCAACCCACAATTGAATTTGGGATCCCACCATCCAGGATCCATAGCAGGGAGGTGAAACTGACAAGGTGGTTTTCCAAGGTATGAGTGGGAAAAGGTGGGGACATTGTTGAAGGTGGGGGAGGAGACAAAGCACTCAGACTCTCAGGGAAACACAATCAGGGGGCCACACAGCCCCAACAAGCACCTGGCAGTCTCTCCATTTCAGCTCTCTGCCCCAATCCAGGTCTTCCTCCCCCTCAAGGGGAACCTGGGGAAGCTTCAGGTACTGACCCATAGAAAACCTGATGGTCTGAGTGCCCCTTGTGGTGTTTTGGCAGTACTACATTCCCTAAAACATGACCATTTTACTTGGAACGTTTAGCAGTGTACTTGTTGACACTTCTGTCCAGGGCAACTATGAAACGGTTCCCAGTTAGTGCGATTTTTGGAACTGTTCAAGTGTTATGTCTGTCTGTACCCTAAGTGAATTCATAAACCTTTCCCTACTACAGGAAGGTCCTTGCATCAAAATGAGAAATCACACACTAGACTGAGAGGCACATAACTAAGAATTCCCTAACTCAGATGTTAAATTTGTCCCTTAGAAGGTATCATTTCAAATGTTGCAGATGATCTCTACTCTTGGATTAAAGCAAAAAGGAAAAACAGTGTCTAAAATACTAAGGACCTTAAGCCATATGAAACATTAGTCAATCTAAACCCCTTGAACAGCATTTAGGCATGAAATTCAAGCCCGTGAGAAAGGCTTGTAAGTCACAGGTGTAACATTCTCTGTGTGAAAACCTGTTAATTGCCAAAGTGTCCTTTAGCCAATAGCATAATTAGGGCGGGGTGATTGGAGTCAGCTGACCTCAGGTAACCGGCATTTTTAGATACCCGGCACTAGTGCTGTGTGAAATTTCACCGGCTGTTTCATTTCCACGCTGTTTGGATCAATTTTGAGGTCAAAACAGCAAAATTGGAAAGAAACAAAGGCCATCGAAATAGCTTCGAAACAAAATGAGGCTAGTTGAAATGTTTTGACTTTCAAAATGTTTCAACCATAGGCTGGAGATGGGAAGTCAGTCCAGCTAGGTTGACTCCCCATCCCCTGCGCTAGATCCCCATCCCCGGCACTAGATCACATTGGGTGCAGGAAGGGGCCCAGCTGGGCTGCTTTCTCATGCCCCATGCTAGATTGTGCTGGGGGTAGCTGGGCTGCCTCACTTTCCCCTGGTGTGACCTAGCACGGGGGTTAGGGAAGCAGCCCTGCTGGACTGCTTTCTACCCCAATGTGATCTAGCACCAGAGATGGGGAAAGCAGCCTAGCTGGGCTGACTTCCCGTCCCCAGCAAAACATCAAAACAGCATCAAAACAGCCTTTCTGTTTCAACAGAATGAAACAAAACAGCTGTTCTGACTCAAAATTAAATTTGAAATGGCATGCTGTTCCATTGAACCGTCAAAACTGATGGTGAAACTGAACAGTGCCATTTCATACAGCCCTACCCGGCACCTCCCATTCCCCACTCGTGCTGGGTAACAGGGATTTGACTGTACTTGTTTTGAGTATGTTACATCTGGAACCAGAAGCTGTCTGAGTACAGTGCTGAGGGTGGGCAAAGTTTTTTATTACTTCCCAGGCTGCGCTTTTTAAGCCATATCATAAGAAGCTACAATTTTTTAAACTGTCATACATCATTAGTCAGATCTACCTGGCAAAGCTGGGCTGTGATTAAAATCCAGTTCTCAATGCAACTAATAAAAAAAAAAGCAAGGTTGAGGCAGTGCCAGGTCCTGCCCTTCCACAAAGACAGGTTCTAAGAGCTAAGTCTTTCCCATTTCTAACTAATAAGATCCTGTCCTACAATATTTCCAGAAAACCAAACACATTCCTTAAATATCTCTAATCAATGAAGGTTGCATAAACTTGTTTTCCAATAAACATTTTATTAAAAAAAAGCATCTGTTATACTTATTACAGTGAATAGGTCAAGGAAGGCTGCATAGTGGAGTGAAGTTTGCTTTATTCATTCACAAACAGGCACGTTCTGACAAGATGCCAGACCTTCTGCTACAGAATTTCCTTGGTCTGAAATTCTTCACTCTCCAAAAGTCATGAGACAGCGGCAGTGAAGTGCTTACTATATATGTACCAGTGGGTGTGTTTTGGCTACATACTGACCAAATAATGATAACAGCACAAATGCTCTAGGGAGTCAGGATGTCTCACCTTTGTCTTAGCGCTGAGTTTAGTAGTGCTGGTTAAAATACAAAGACTCAAAATAGCAATTAATGAGGAACTTTTGACATAAATTTATTGTGGATCTGGTGAGGTCATAGAAAAGAGAAGAATACAGCTCTTTATGCAGAGCCTAACAAAAGCACTTGGGCTTCGATTCCAAATAAAATTCAAAAACAGGTTTAATTTAACCACATTTGTAATCCCATCCCCATTCAATGAAGTATACACAAAGCACATGCTTAAAGGGATATAAATATGTACCCTGAGAGGTGCCCTGAGAGTTTAACACATGTATATGTGCTTGGCAAATTAGGGATGGGAATACTCATATGCTTAAAGTTCAGCATGTGCTTAAGCACTTTTCTGAATCAAAATCTTAAGGAAACTGAACAACTTGATGCTTATAAAAAAGACTGCTATTTTGAAGCTGTACTGCCATGGAGAGGGCTTTAATGGTCAAAAGACATCTGGTTATTGGGATTATTTCAATATAATCCTTATAATAAAGAAAAGTCTGGAGTGTATAAAATAGATGCAAAGGATTACTCTTCTGTTTTCACATTCAATTAATAGTCCTAAATGAAGTACAGATATATTTTTTTAATTTCCTGAAAAAAACCCTATGAAAAAAACCACACTCATTATAGAAACCAACAGTGACAGCACATGGGGTAAGAGCCCAAAGAAGAGGTTCTATATAGAAAAATTAAATAAGAAAAGGCGGCTGTAGAATCAGTCCCCAGTTTGTGAGGTTCTCTAGGGGCTTCAGTTGATTTTGTAGTGACAGCAGACACTGTGCAAATCTCAAGTGGGAAACAGTGGGAAACTGCTCAAAATAGCTGTTTCACTGAAATAAATGGTGATCTTGGTGGCCAAGGGCAGGTAAATTGAATTTGACAAAGATAAGCTGCTGTACTGATTTGGACTTGAAACATGACCTGTGGGGTGAGAATACTCTCCTCTTGGGCTAAATATTCCTCCAGATGACACTATAGCTTCCAAGGCACTTAGCCAGAAGTGCAAATGCTGACCAGATGGTTTCCTTGGATTTTGAATAGTCAAGAGGATCAGACCTGTGATTTACTGGAGCTTCAATAAGGTCCGCTGTTACAATAGATTCTGCTGCTGTTGTTTGGTCAGCAATGGTTGCATGTTCATGCTGCTCTTATTTTACTAAATCCAGATGCATCCATAAATCTCCAGGTGAAATGGTAGAGTCACCAAAAGCAGAAACAACAGCAGCCAAAGATGGTTGAACAGATTGCCCTGTAGTTCTTTGAACTGCTTCATTGGTCATTTGACTATTTCTCGCCAGATTTGATATAGCATGTTCCATTATGTCATTAGCAAGAATCAAGGAACCAGAAAATAGCTAAAATGAGTTTCCTGAAAGATGAGATCAATTCTGTCTAGTTCTTCTCCAAATACTTTGGAAGTACAGGAAAGATTTTGGGATATCTTATTTTTACCTGGAGTCTTCCCATTAACTGAATCAAAATACAAAGTACAGTATTTACAACGTACAACTTCATTCACATGACTAGTTCTGAGGTGGCCTGTTTAAACTCCATACATTTCCAAAACTTCCTGGCTGGTGCATAGTTGGGCAGGGACTGTAGCTTGCATGTGCTCCATGCCTGGGAGGAAATAGAGCTGGAGCTATGCCTGAGTGTAACCGTGGTGGGCCTGGGAGGCAGAGGCTTGGGGCCAGAGTCAGAGTTGCAGCAGCTGCCTGTCCTCCTCCTTCACTTATACTCAAATGCAAGACCATGGACTTTCCTTCCTCCATATTGAATAGGCGGGGGAAAACTTGCCTTGGGTTGCAGTAAATAATATGTTATTAAGTACCTTGTATAGTCTAAACAAATGTGTTGTGAACCACAGAAGTGTATACCGAGGCATCCTCTTGCATTTATAAATGTGCTGGAAATCTCAAGAAATATATTTACTTATATTTACTCTGGCTTTTGTTAGACATTACTCTCTTGCCTTTGGTAAAATTTAAAACAAGAAGATGTGTGCATGTGGTAAAAGGTGTATATACATAGCCCAATTAGTAGGTAAGATATTCTATCCATGTGTGTACAAATGTTTTAAAGGAACTTAATATTAGCATGATTCTTCACTGTCTTGCACCTTACGTAGGCATTTACACCTATGCAAAATGCATACATAGTGAGTGTGAAATTCAGATTTAGCAGCATTTTATTTCTACTGTGCACTTAATTTATGCAAGGTGTAACTGAATATACAAGGTCTAAGTCCATGGAGAATATGAAATAATGCAGTGTTTTTTACTGCAGTTGCAAGCAGGTGTATGTGACCTGTCTGAAATAATGAAAGACTCTTCACTTATTTTTTTTTAAAACACCACAGCACCTTTCCTCAACCCTCTCCATACAGTTCACTATCTGAATATTATTTTTTTGAATTCTTGTATTCTTTTGACTATTGAAATAAATGTATCCTGTACTAGGCTTTCTCTTAATAGAGAGGCTCATGAAAAATTACTTAACTTGCTTCTACAGGCATCTTTAATATGCAGTGGTGTTCTCATGATGAATTACTTGTTCATCCTTGTAGTCAGTTACTGGGAAACTTCTTTTCACATTCATCTACATTCTGGATATTTTAGAACAACACCATCCATTTCAGATGAGCAATAGAGTTCTCCAAATAAATGTCTTAATCATATTTGACATTGTTATCATGTTACATAAAAATCTAGGACAACTCCTGATCACCCTAACACATGATGAGAGAGTAATTCCATTGGGTAGGAAAAATATGGCTGAATTTTCTGCCACAATTGTCTCTTTCCCTTATTTTTAAGTTGTTTTGGGAAAAGCAAATATTGAAAAAATATTAAATATATAGATTCATTTTTTATTCATAAACTGAAGATGACATGTGGAGGAAGAACTGAAAGTCTCCCTCATATTCAAAACTAATAATAGGAGTTTTGACTAAGTCATCCATCGTACACCCTAATTCCAAAATGGTTAAACACAGAAATGACCTTGGCATTACCTTTAAAATGGTATCTGCTATCCTCAGTGACATTACTAAACACTATAAAGGAGCACCCGATCATAAAATTCACTTGAAATGCTTTAACAGCCCTAGACCAATTGTCCATAAAATAACCTCAAACAAATCTGCTTCCATATGGCACAATGCTGTACCTTGCTTAAAACTGATTAAAAACATCTTACACTGGACAAAGCATAATGAAAAGGGTTCACATTTCAGGTTTTGGAAAAGGCCATAGGAAATTAGTGCACCTTAAAAGCTAACAAAAGATGTACTTCAGTTGCAAAGTTAATTTGACAGAAGCTTTTAACATGTAAAGTTGGTAAAATTGGGGGCATCAACACATGTGCTTTACCGCAGTTGACTAATTAGCTCTGCAGTAAAACGTCACTGTCTACATATGTGGCACTATTAGGCCAGAGCAAACTAATTCCACCATAGGATAGTACTGTTTAACAGAAGTACTATTCTACAGCAGAAGTTATTTACTCTGTCACAACGCACCTGTAAATGGTGACCAGGGCTGGCTGGGACATGAGGGTGCTCCAGTGCAGGGCTGACCGCTAGCTAGCTCCACGCTGTAGCACCCTTTGTGCCCCAGCCAGCTCCTCTGCAACATGTTGACCCAGGGCAGAGCAGCTTCAGGCTGGCAAGCTGACCCCCCGAAGCCCCTGGCAGCCAGTGTTACACTGCCCCGGCTCAAAGTGCTGTGGTCCTGAACTGTGTCAGTGTTTCTTGAGTTGCATTCATTGCACATGCAGGTGCACTCACTGAAATGAAGCCCAGCTTGGCAAAGCCTTGGCTGGAATGATCTAGTTGGGGATGATCCGCCTTTGAGCAGGGGATTGGACTAGATGACCTCCTGAGGTCCCTCCAAATCCTAATTTTCTATGATTCTATGAAATGCATCTCTAATGAATAAAACCAACAACAAAAACAAAAAAAATTCAGGTGATAGTAACAATATACACCATATAAAGAAATAGGTAAAAAAATATATGAATTGACACAGATTGCATCTGTAGTAGGCCTGTGCGAAGCGGTTAGTATTCGCTTCGGATTCGGCCGATTCGAGGGACAGTGATTCAATTTGGTGATTTGAATCACTGTCCCAATTCAACTTGGCCAAATCTGATTCAGAGATTCAGCTGCTGCCAAATCTCCAAATCAGCCAGGCCAGGCCCATCCCTCACCCGCTCTGCCAGCCCAGCAAAGGGTGCCCCGCCCGCCCCAGTTCCCAGCTCTTTGGGGGAAAAAAGCCTCGACTCAGTGGGTGCTGCCAGGCAAGGGGCAACTCCTGCTTCCTGCCACTGCCCCCTACTGTGCAATGGGCTCTACATGAGCCCCCTGACCCCCCTCACTCCCCC